GTTGTTTATTTAGCTTTCGTCTATTCATATAATATAATATTTATAACTATCAGTATTCATAGCCAAACCTTTTTATTCAACACGCGAACAAAATTGTTACACAGTATATCAGTAGATGTTTACACTTCGTATGCCACTATTAGTTTTCCAAGAAATTAACACACATTTTAGACGAGGTACAAGTCTCTATCACACGATTGTTTCAAGATTATGCACATAAAATTATTTATTTATTTTACATTGCCAAGTATATTATATATTAAAATTAAGACCTCAATTTAAATAGTGAATGGCATGACCCCGTTTGGGTGTTGCAACAAACTTAAGCTTAAATTATATTCATTATTTTATTAACAGTTAAAGGTAATAAATAACTGCAAAATTTGGCGCAAAAATGTAAAAATCAAATCAACTCAAACTAAAATAAATTAAGCCAAGCCAAATCGTATAGAAACAAATAAAACAAGTCAAATGAAATTAAATCATTTTTTTTTATTAAATTAATTGATTTCGTCTGATATTTTTATTACAGTTTATTTTTGCTTGTTAATCGCTACATAGCTTCTATGTATCTTTTCTTAAATATGTAAAAATACTCGTTTAATTCGTTTCAGTGCCGCCACCTATCGAGAAATTAAGCATTTTCTTATACGATTACGGCAGTGCTTTTGTAGCAAGACTAGCATATAAGTATGCGTGCTTTTGTATGCTTAAAATTCCGTAGAAGCGTGCGATCGCAAGTACATTTATGAAACTTGATTTCTAAGCAATAAAGCTTATTTTTGTTTGCGAAAAATATAACTTCAATAGAATAGTATATCAATGTTTCATTTAAAGTGATAATGTCTTTAAACATAACGCACATTTTAATTTTTTTCTTTTATTAAGCTATTATTTATTTTTCGAAACAATTTAAGTATAAAATATTTAATTTTGACTTAGAGAGTTGAATTTAAGACAGGTTTTGTCTTTAAGACCGAGTGTGAAGGACCTTACGTGTACAAATTTTTGTAAGTCTCACTTCTATCGCATGTAAACAGCACATGCCCGTTTTTTATTATTAGTAGACAATAGGTTGTAACATTACGATAGAGGCACAAATGCACCAAAGTTTAATTCATATTATGACTTATTCCTATTTAAGACATTATTCTGCCTTTACCAATCTTCAGAAGTCAAATAGAGATAGAATGAGGCTTAAGTATGATTAGCTTTTAAAATTGAATTAATAACTACACTGCATATGGGCCCTAAATATAGAGATTTAACTTCAAAGAAGTTTCTATTCTGTTGAACATGTTTAGTCTATGACGAATGTTACGGGGCGCTTTCACGCTCTCACAATACTCTGTGCAGATTTCGCAAACACGGTTTTAATTAGGGAGATTCGTAGAGTGCACCGACGCTACAGGCTGTTGTATCGCGCTGTTATTTCGTGCATGGAGGGATCGAATGAGTATATCTACGACAAACTAGAACCTAAATTGCATGTTGCCTAATGCCAATACCATGACAATTCAAAACTATACTCTACAATAAATATTAAATTAAATAAGTAATTAATTCATAGCATAGGTGTGTTAATACAATCACTCGTAAAAAGTATATATACCTTGTCAATATAGGCGCGCAAAGTTTATCATAGAATAATCGTTAAATAAATAACGATTTTTAAATATTATTTAAAAAATGAAGGCAAGAAAATAACAAACAATAAAATATTGAATAATTTCAAATACTTATTTGTAGTAATTCACCCGAGTAGGTATCGATTAAACAAAAAAAATGACTCAATTACTTAATAGTGTCGTCAACCTTAGGCCCTGTCAAAATATGTCAGAATATCAGCATCATTATGCTGAGACAGGGACTTAGTTGGCCTTTTTTTCTTCTCTTTGTTTGTTAATGTCATCTTGTGCATAATGTTGATAAAATTTTATCTGCCTTTCTTTCTTTCAACGATTGCAAAATTATTACATAATTGAGTCGTATAGTATCAAAGGCGGCAAAGTAGGGCGAACCAAATATTTGGCAAATCAAAAAAAAACTGTTTAGTCTCGTCTTTAATGCCAGCCATACACACTACGAGAAATCGTTACGATCAGACTGTACAGTTCGAACGGAACAGTTTATCGGACGTGGCATACGTATAGAAAACTGTGCAGTTTTACAACTACGATTTGTAGTAATGATGAATGTCAATTATAAAAATCCTCCCTTAAACACGAGACTAAACAGTTCTTTTTGATTTGCCAAATATTTGGTTCGCCCTACTTTGCCGCCTTTGATACTATACGACTCAATTACCAATTTTCATGAACATCATTTCCTATAAGCAGCGGCCATAGTACGAAACACACCCCGTATACCAGGGCGGCGGATCTAACCGTTAATATATTCCATCAGGAGAGTAAACCGCAATCTGCGCGCCGCCCATTCACGCGGTAACGAACTCCTTTGGTATAGCATTAGCGGCCACTGTCGAACATTCCGTATCTCGACTCATTAAAACAGATGGCCCCTTCAATGCAGTCCCAGTTCCACCTGCCTTTATGACAGTATGACGGGGTGATGCTATCGCGATGATGAAATAATACGTTCTGGTGAAACATTAATGAGATTGTGGGATGTTTTTTTCTATGTTGGATATGACTTATTCGTCAGATATTGTATTTGTCAGCGGAGAAAAAAGTGCGTTACGCAATACTAAGAGATCTAGGAGCCGTGCAGCACCTCATCGGACACTTGTGTTGACAAATAATTGAAATGGTTTTTTTATGTGTTACTGCTAAAATTTGTAAGGATACCTAACACACGAAACAGTTTCTTTAATAACCATGGTTGTTGTAATCATTGTTATTTCTGACTCCTAACTAAGATACGGTAAAAATAAAAAGTTGTGTAATTATTTATGCTGCGGAGGACTTATTAGGCATGCGTCCGATATATCAAAACGAATCCAAAATCCGATTTCAAATACAAATCGATACCGAACGATTTCTCAACAAGAAAATCCGATTTTAGAAATCTAACCGAACCAAAACCAAATACCACAAGTATCCAAATGTAAATCGGATTCGAAATTCGTGCTTTCGTTTTCGGAACTCCGATTTCGGTTTGCTGTTTACGGAAATCTATTGCTGTTCTCTGAGGCGGGATTATTTATCACTGAAAAGATATGTCGTCCAAAAACATCAAAAGTCGAGCAACTTACATTTTTGGACGCTATCCTGAAGTAATTAGGTTTGATTTTGTAAATGGTTTGAAAAATAATAAAAACAAACAGAATAACAAATAAAAATACTAAAAAATATGTAAAAAGAAATCATTGTATAAAAGCCGATTTTTAAATGCGCCGCAAAAGTTTTACTCTTTAATAACTTTTCTGCTAGTCCTAAGCCTAGATTTAAAGCATGAAGGAAAATCGCGAATATCTACGAGTATCCTTGCTTCCTACAATTAATTGTTTGTGATTGTCGTTAGCTAATAAAACCAAATCATAACACAAACTAGTGAATTGGCTAAGTTCAGCACATCTGAAATCGGATATCTAAAAACGGATTTTAAAATCGATTTTGAAATCTGAAATCCGATAAATATCCGTTTGCGTTCAAAACCAAAAACGCCCATGTCTAGGACTTATCTTTTTCCGGGTTTGGTAACCATAGCCCTGGGTTAATTATATGGCTGTGTTAGCCTCCAGATTTCCTTAGCGTGATGTAAGCTTTCCATACTATCCATCGCTTTCGTATGGGCATTGAATGCTATGCCAATAGCGCTATCTGTTGTCAGGGAGTGTGAAGCAGGGCTTGTTTAAAGGTTAATTTTCAAATCAGTATCAAGTACATTAGGAGCGTTTTATTTAGGTTTGGCTCTACCGTAACCTTAAAAAAACCGGTTTTCCTAAAAAGCTAAATCAAATAGGTTTTGAATCAATTTAGCGGTTTTTAAAGGGTTTCATTTCGCTCTTACTGACGGCATCGTCTTCGCCGTTTCAATTCAAATTTATAATGATTTTATGTCAGTTTCTTTCCAACTACAGAGCAAGTTAGTGAAGTAGTGTGTCAGTACACAACTACAAAATGAATAACTTGGTTCACTAGACGCTAGCAAACGTGACAATAAATGCATCAATCTCTGAGCATTAACAAGTTGTGTCTTGATTAGTTCAAACAAAACAAACTTCAAGCGATACAGACATGTGCACGTGTCGCTCTGGATTAAACCGGTTTATTAAGGTTTTAGGTATCGCTTTCATTCCGGACGCGCTCCGAACGAAAACTTTACTAAAAACTGATATTAACCTTTATTTACCGGTATTTTCGAAACCGGTTACATGCTCTGGTGTGAAGACTTGCTCCCTTTTTGTTATTTGTGGGTCGTGTAGATGTAACCGCCACATTGGACAATAATTTATTCGGCTGTGAAGATTAACCCGAGTATCGAAAAAACAGATTTGGTGGTGGAGGTTTGGTGATTCTTTAAATTATAAACGAAAAAATATTATAATTTTTAAAATTGAAATTTTACCGGTACGTTGTCTTTAAAATAATGTGCACTGTTACAAAATAACAAAATCAACTGGTATGCGGATATTGAACCGTACAGTGGTGTCGATCCTGGCGTGATTCTCTAAACTTAAAACTAAATTTAACATCAGTCTCTCCTTTTCATTCTGTATAGAGAATGACAGGGATGCACTGTTGTCAAATTTAAGTTTAGCTTTAGAGAATCATGCCAGAATCGACATCAATATCTTATTAAAACACAGCGGACCTCTTTTCCCTTATTAATAAATGAAGAATAAGCTGGAATAAGTTATTCCATGTTTTGTTTCTGTTCATTGAACGATAAATGGCATTTATGTGATATGAACAAAACACGGCGAACCTATCAAGCTTATACCTCGTTTATTATTAAGGGCGCATATGCTTCGTATACCTAAATAGTAATTTTCTAATGAAGTATTTTTTTAATTACAATATCAAAGAACTACTTACTTGGGGAGCTGCTTTAACAACTTCTTTGGGCTGTAGCCGCTGCAAATGGTTCGGTATTCGGACCTCTTTTGCGGCAACGGTTGAACTCTTCTTATCGTCCTTGGATTTTGCTTCTGTGGTGCCAGGCTTGTTTTTGTTAGTCCTATTAGTCTGATAAGAATGAAAAGAAAATTACAATTTAAATATTAATCATTCAACTACTACGTAATGTAAGTTTATATCAAGATATTTAACCACAATACATTTTGACTTCAGATATCCGACGAAACCGAAACCGGTAACCTTTCGTTCATTTTCTTTCTAATCTTTTAATTGGGCTAAAGATCACATCGATCGAATTGATGTTAAAAGTGGAAGCCATAACAACTGACAATATAGCTATCTGTCATTAACATCATAGCGTCCCTTACAAAGCGTAGATTACCTCGAGATATTAAATTTTAGTTCACCACTAATCGCCGTCCTTTGCAAATCTGCTTGCCTTTTTTGTCGCTAATATAACTATACCCTTATCCTAAACAATCCTAATAAACATCAAGAAAATAGGTTATTTGACAGTATGAAAATTAAAGTATCAATTAATGGCATGTGTAGGTATTTGTTTCGTAACGTTTTCGCGACAAATTTTACAACATACTTTTTATTTTGATTATTTTTTCATTTTTATATATAGAGATCAGATCATCGGATGCATATTTACCTAAAGTTGAGATGTTGGCTATTATGAAGTGCCTTTATGCACAATGCACTTTTTAATCGAACAAATCCCGCGATTCCGGGTTATTCTAATTTAAGTGTAGGTATACTCCGTGAGATCTAATTCACCCAGATTGACACAAACGCCAGTTGCCCTGTGTGTATAACATAATAATACTGTGTAAGATGTCGTTACTTTACCTTTCGTCTGCGGAAGCAGCCCTTGTAACCCTTGTGTGCTAAAACTTTCAGCGCGGGCGGAAAGCTGGGAGCGTTGCCAATATTAGAAATCTTTAAAAACCTCCATATAATTCTTTGACACACACTAAACCAACAATTGTTTGTTGATACTAAATAGCAATAGCAGGGAAATTTATTATCTGTTATTATTTGTTTCATTTTGTATGTATAATTTTTTAAAGGCAATTGAAGTTGTTTTCAATAAAGAACAAATTTTATGTTTTTAATTCTTATACCCAAAAGTTTAGACTTTGCGCTATCCATTGATATAACAATAAGGTATAACTTCAAAGATTGGTTAACGCACTCATTTTATTTTGTAATTACTGATCATCTAAGTTTGAAAAAATGCATATTTCTCGTAAATAAACTAAGTTTTTTCACTTATAAGAAAATATTTCTTTATTTCAATTCAAATAATGTCGTATTTTATTTAAATTTATTTGATTTTGATTTGATTCTTTATAAATACACAGCTCCTCATAACTGTACTGTTGTAAGTGGAAACTTTGTTAATGTATTTTATTTAATTAATCTAAATGTAATAAAATATTGTTTGTTTCTCCAAATTTAAAAAATTATAAAAAATAATGTGAATAGCATTCATTATTAATTAAATAACACTACTTTTTTCACAATTAAATAAAGATAGCACTTAGTAACGATATGTTTTTTTTCTTCGCTCTCATTTCACTAATTTACTAATCTGAGCGACATTTTATTGAAATTGTTGCAATGTATAAAAACTGAACTTTCTTGCCTTGTGTCACTTAAGTATATTAAAGTTCTCATAGATAATATTTCCGAATTATATCATAAATAATAACTTTTACTGCAATTTCCCACAGTCGCTTTGGTCTCCTTTTTGCATGTGTGTGTGCGCCTTTTATTTTTATTAAATTTGGTCGTTAGCCCGTATTCGGGTGCACGAAAGACATTACTCGAATTCGAGCCCCCGAAGCAATATCTGAGTGTGAAAATTGTATATTAATATCTATAGTTTTTAAATTGTAAAATATATGTATTTTTTAATTTTGGTAAGATGCATGTTTAATAATTGAATTGAATTTTATTATAATATATTTGATTGTTTGTTTAATTAATAATAATAATTTAAGTAAAATTGCAACGCCCTTGCAGGGTGTCACATGTTTGTACAGGTTATGATAATGTTGTTTTTTGTACTATCTGTGGCATGCAATAAAGAATAAATAAATAAATATTTACCCTGGAATACGGGCTGAAAACGAAAGCTACCGGAATACGGGCGTACTCGACTCCGTTCTTTTACACTTTACCCGAATTTCATTGGCACCCGTATTCGGGCTAACGACCAAGTGTAATCAATAAGATCTGATATTGAGTTTGTACGGCTATCTGCTTAGTCAAAGATCTGTCCACAGTTTGAAGGCTGTACACATTTTGTAGGGACTAGGGAATAAAACTAGTTTTATAAATATGTTTTTTTTTTATTTGTACATCATCCGCGGCCGCTTGCCACGCAAAGTATTTTTGCCCTAAATGTAAACACTTTATATTTAAATTACATAAAATTATATTTTATAGTATAAAACAAAGTCGCGTTACCTAAGAGCTAGTAAACAAATAACATTTTGCTCCCGTTACTGTATTCGACACGTGTGCTCCGGACAATGGCATCGCCGGCTGTCTTTGATGTCCCATAATATAACAAATATAAAAAATGTTTTTTTCTATATTGTTTCAATGCTAGTTGGTTAGTTGCATTTTTACATTTCAGGATCAGTACCCTTAGCACGAACCATTATCGAATTCGGATAGTTGAATTCGATGTAGATGTACGTCAAATGTGTACTGATTTTTAATTCCCGCGCGTGGCGCTGCTGTTCAAGTTTCCATATAAAATTTGGCAATGACATTTCGTACTCGCAAACGTTACCAATTCGATATTGGTTCGTGCTAAGGGTAGGGTAATATGTTCAATGTGTAAGTGTGTTTCTTCCTCCCTGTTCACGTTTTAGTACCTCCACCAATGGGCATTTTTGTATGTTCGATATTTGTGATTCGATCACGTAGGGAAATTCCAAACATGATTATTATTGACGACGCGTCAGTATCTACCATAAGCCTTTTTTTATTGTGTATAATGTTGGACGCAGATGACCTTTACAGCGTCACCGGGTTTGTGGACAGCGAAATCCTAAAGGGACCTTGAGCCGAGAATTGGCGAGTGCCTCTAGAGATATTCCAGGCGGATGGCGTCGGCCCTTGGGAGTCGCCTTTCCGTCTGGAGTTCTAGACCACTCGATCCTGAGGGGGACGGCTCAACTCAACAAAAGGGCGTCTCTGAGACTCGGACCTTGGTTCTAGATAGCCGTTGTCGTGAGGGGTGGGGGGCGGAGAAAAACACCCAGATACATATCTGTACATGGTATAACGCGTTGTGTGTAGACCAGGTCTTCGCACTCTTATCCTACGGGTGCGATGTCTTCCTAATGCTCAGCTAATGTGCAAGTTTGATAGCTGTGTAGTGTTGGTGTTTGTGGCCTGTGTGGGAGGAGTCAGGGGCGCGTTAGGGGTATTCTAAGACGTGCTTAATCAGACGGAATTGGGAGAGATCTACGAGTAGAGGGCGGGCGTGCAAAGGTGTGATAACAAAAGGATTTAACTAATAGGGGGTTCCGGTGGTGTGCGGCTTTATCGAAGTAACGTCTCGAGGTATCCTTCATGTATTTCGCGATGGGATCTAACTTAAGGTCACAATGCAAATAAATAATGCAAACAAACGTGCGTACGTGTATCGTGGCACCACGTATTACACGATTTTGCAGCGTTTATAGGGGTTTAAGACGCGACGGGGGTACGCAGGCGAAGGAGACACTCGCGTAGATAAGGATGCCCTATCCTATGCGAGTATGCGAGTTTTGTAAATTGTCATCTTATGCCTAAGTGGCATTTGACTCCGCTTCCCTATGACACGGCCCCATAGCCTACCGCGATAAATGCTACACGATTACAAATTATCTTGCGATGAGATGCAATCTTAAATCGGTTATCTAACGAGACTCCCAGGTATTTGACCCGGTTCTACCAGGGGATTACCTGGTCAAATAATTGGATGCTCGGAAGAGAGCAGGTGGGAAGGGGTGTCGCACGGAGAGGATCTCGACGCTTTATTCCGCATTAACCTCGATACGCCATCTACGGAACCAGTTACCAAAGGTGTTAGCGGCTGATTGAAGTCTACGAGTATTACAGACTGTTCCAAGACGCCTATCGGGGGTGAGGAGATTTCAGTCTTCAGACAGCGGCAACGGGATACGATAATTCTACATCAAAATTTAGAGGTGGCATTTACATGTATATATTATTATTTTATTTCAGATTTTTGGAACTATGCAGTCCCAGTTGAAATGTAGTCACTGCGACTAAGGGTCGTATTAATAATACATATATACTTTATTAATACAACTAGCGGCCCGCCCTCGCATCGCTTCGGTGTAGAGCTGAAGTGTAGACTACAGTTTTTATTCTCAGGCTTGTATTATACACAATGACATTCATCTATGATTCTTCTATACCTGCATGCAGAGTCTCAGCCCGATCGGTTTAAAATTGACAATGTTTCATACAAACTTTCATTCCCTATTTTATCCCCTTGGTGGTAGAATTGATCAAAATCCTTTCTTAGCGGGTGCCTACGACATAACATCTACCTGCATGCCAAATTTCAGCCCGATCCGTCTAGTAGTTTGGGCTGTGCGTTGATAGATCACTATGTCAGTCAGTCAGTCAGTCACCTTAGAGTTTTATATATAAAAGATACATAGATATAAACAGATTTCAACAATTACAATATATAAATATACTAGAACTGCTCTATATTATGATACTCTTTCCAACATGAGCCAACACAAAGAAATACTTTGCACTGTGAACAAACAATATTGGTCATCTTATTCATTTTTCTTATGTTGCATCGTACACAACGCCCTCTTTTGTAACGCGCGTCCTGCTTTGAGGTGCGCTCCGTGGTGACTTCTATGTGGTCTGGATAGTGGTCCAGACTTTTATTCAGCCTAGCACATGAGACACCATGGCGATCCCTCACTTTTGTAGTGATATCTTGCCCGTATAGATCATACAGCTCCTCTACGAGCTGATACCTAAAATCACGGTGCGTCAGTTTTTTCTTTTGGCCCATGTTGGAACAATAAATTATGTAAGAATTTAAAACTGTAATGTTTAGCAACCGTCTGAAAACTTTGATATACCATTTATAGCCTCTTTTTCTCTCTAGTAAATACATGGATAATTTTTGATCTTTTAGATCAACGCCACCCATATATTTATTATAGTCGTGGACAACTATGGGCTTGTTCACGTCGTTGCCCGCTCTCTTGCCTGGCGCCATGTCCGCATTGTGGTAAGTCGAGACCATGGTGACGAGCTTCACGTCTGCCCAAGACGTTACAGATACGTCACCACAATGCCGGCTTACCACAGAGCCTCTAACTATCGCCCTCTCATTTAAATTTCTAACGTCCAAAGGGGTGTCAGTCTTTCTTCTGTTCAGAGTACCCACAACATCGGTCTTATGCATTTTTAAAAATCTTGCCAGGGTCACGGAGTTATAGAAGTTATCCATGAAAAGTGCATATCCTTTACCAAGATAGTCCTTTATCATATTTAGGACTATCTTGGCTGTCGCCGAAGTAAACCCAAAAAGGGAGTCAGTGGAGGTCGTCCCCTTGCCCCCATATATTACTATTTTCAGCACAAATCCGCTTCCAGCCTCACAGAGTTCATAACTTTTTATTCCGAATCGCGCTGCTTTGGAACGTATGCACTGACTGCAGCTTAAATTGCCTTTCCAAAGCAGTAGCGATTCATCTATACATATTTCCCTGCGCGGCGTGTAAACGGATTGGAACTTCAAATTCAAATATTCCAATATGGGTGCAATTTTGGCAAGCCTTCGTTCGGCACCTTCGGCGTTTACTTCGTTGTTATTGGAAAAGTGTAGGAATCTCAACAGTATGAGAAACCTGTCCTTTGTCATAATGCGCCTAAAATCAGGCATCGCTATGCGCCCTGTGCTCCAATACTCATCAACGCGGCCCCTGACGCACATCCCCATTAAAATCATAACCGAAATCAATCTGTATAACTCAGCAACGGTAGGTTCAACCCATTGGTGGAGTCGCGAACGCGGTGGGAGACCAGCTTCGGTTTCAAAATGCGGCGCAATGTTCTGAAACGCGTATTCATTAGTTTCTCTTTGAATTAATTTCATTAGATGCTCGTCCCAAATTTGAGTGAACAAGCCTGACGGACTCGTCCCCTTAATTTTGGGGCCAGCATCCTCTAAAAATGGTTCCGGAGCACCGTGAAAAGTGTCGTAGTTAGGAGACCAATCAAAAGTGCCTAACTCCGACACTTCATCCTCCTCCTCTTCCAAGATATCTTCCGTTGCTAACGTCTCGGGTTCTTCCTCTTCCTCACTCCCAGAGTCAACTGCAAGGGTCTTCCTGAGAGGGACAACCAAGACGGTGTCTTCTTCCTATCAATAAAAATGCAATGTTCAGCAACTCCACACACTAGCAAAACTTTGATTTAAATTGCCTGCATCATATAAAAACATTTCATTATTCCGAAGCTAACTCTCAGCAGTGCTGATATTTTTTTTAATGTTGATAAGTTAATTAGAACAGTTAAGTTAGTTTAGCGATAATCAATATATACGATTTGAATTTATTATTAACTAAGTATAATACATACAAAATCTTGTGAACTTTGTGGGAAAAGTGCACATGAAGTTGCTCCTTGAGGTTCCACCATATCCATCTCCTGGATATTCTCCACAATCTCAATCCCTTCACCCACGTCCAATCGTTGGGGGCACCAAGGCTAAAAGTCAGCATAACAAAACATACTTTCTTGTGATCGATATCCAAAAATATGAACAACATTTTTCGTTCACATAATATAGCTGAATAACATACTAGTAATATTCCCGAGGAACTCTTCACGAGTAGAACTCGTTCGTTGCTGACCGTCAGGATCCCTTGTGGTGTCGTGACCACCTCCACAGCGGTTACTAGTGGTAGACCACTGGTGCTTGGCGTGGAAGCGGAAATTGGATCCATAATATAGCTAAAAAACAGTATATCGGTCTTCATTTATGTTTTCTTATTAACCACACTACCATTTCTCTTATACCTTACACACACACATAGTTAAATGGAGAGGTAAAATTTAACTAATTAAATATACATCATATTAGTTATGCGATCCCGGAATCCCGGGATTTTATTTTTAATAATAATATCGTAATAAACCGCTTCCTTACCTAATTTGTTAGCCAAAAAATCACTTTAGGTACATAAGCATCCGATTATCCGATCTCTAGTTATATGCAACATAATTATACACTTAATGGGGTTTCTACACACTTAAAAAATAACGTATAAACGTTTTCGAAAACAAATAGCCTATTGATGACTAGATCTACAACTAGTGGCAATTTTTTTACCAAAACCACAGACAAATAAAATTGCTACTGCGCAGGCTCCGTTGTCCATAGTTGATATATAAACCGGGATTTATACCAAAGGACATTCCAAAAAACTTTTAAATGCACTTCAATCTTACCATTAGTTCGTTCCGTCTTATAGCTTCTAGCTGTTGCTCTCTCGCTATCGCCTGTCGAACGGGGGGAGGTGGCTTTACTTTCTCTTCGTTACCTAAAATGATTATTTTTTCTGAAATTTCTGGTATAAGTGATGTAGTGACCGTACTATGTTGATCTCCACTATTTTAAATACACTGCTGAATGAATGCTAGCACTAATCTAAAATTCAAAAGTTATTATAATGAATAAGAATATTTGTACCAAAGTCACTGATGTTTATATATATTTTTAAATAAAAATATACTTATGTATATTATAGTATATTATGTATTCTATCCGTTACCCTAATATCAAATTACACAAGCTTTTCACTATACTCTTTACAGTGCTTACTTCGGGGCTGGGCTGATTGGAAGTTTATATGTATTTTAATAAACTTATACGTATCAGTATATGTATTCTATCCGTTAGCCTAGTATCCCATAACGCAAGCTTTACATTGCTTAAGCGCGTATTCCACCTGACTAAATTCAGACGTCTTAGTAAGGATCGTAAAAAGAAAGCTAATTAGAAGCTTCTGATTACACCTGACTAATTTAGTTACTGATTCAGTCAGTTGCAAGTGCGCAGCGAATTGAGTCGGACTTTTTCGTAATGGCTCTAGTCCTGTTAAAGCAACAAAAACGAGTCTTCCGTAGGCCTGGCCGTAAGCTCAATAAAAATAAAATAAAGTAAAAAACGTGGGTGAAAGAATATTAATATTATTTTTATCGTTTTTGTTCCAAAGATACGGCATATGTTTATACAATTGGATTATGTTACTCATAACTTCTTTTTCTTTTACCGCCGACATCGCGCACTTGCATAATTCGTCATCATAGACAAATTAACGTCCACACGCATTGACGCCTGCCGTGCGAATGAAGCATCTAAACCCTATCACACGTTCCTAAATCACATTCTAATTAGGATACTTAATGATTTAGTCAGCCAGAAGCGACACTTCTTCCGATTTAGGATGCTAATTAGGATCCTAACTTCCTAGAATTACTTGCTGAATGATTAAGAACGTCTGAATTTAGTCAGGTGGAATACGTCCTTTACTTTGGGCCTAGCCCCAATGTAATAAGAATTGGTGCGTATGTTAGAAATATTTATTTATTTATTTTACCTATAAACGCAGCGCGGTATATGTCAGGCTCCAGTACGAACGCGTACAGTGAGTCCGCGGTGCGTTGCTGCAAGTACTGTAGTCCATAATCGCACATAGCGGCTGCGATCGTTCGAACGCAACCCCGTTCCCATTCGCTGCATAACTGGAGAAATATCATAAATAACAAAAAAATGTTTGATGATAATGATGATGAATATAGATTTTTTTTGGGGTAAGGTCCCAAATGACCTTTTCAATACAAAGTCGAAAGTTCAAAATTACAGGCCATACAACGGAGCGTGCGGTAATACGTTTTACCGCACGCGCCCATATATGGTACCGTGCGTATCCTTTACGGTTATATTTTTATTATTAGGATTGAACCGCTTTAAAAGAACTTTCAATCTATACCTTTGTCTCACTTTAATTCTAAAAAGAAAAGCGAGTTTAATTTTCACCACCCGCACGTGGCTCCAATTGGAAATGCATGCCATTTTCTTATTAGAAAGCCATTTTCAATTATAAAAGTTTAGAAAAAGTCTGCTTCATTACTTAATTAGTTAAAGGTACTGTTTTCTCGCAAATGTGTTGAAAAAGTGCGAAGAACTGGTATGTACAAACTTGTGACCATGGTAAGTTACATTCATCTACTCGTTTGTAATAACCAACTTACCACACTAATATCACAAATAACGAGATCCTAGAGCCGTAAACCGTAAATCTTTTCTGAGTAAAATAAATTTTATTTATTTTATATAACAAAGTAATTGAATATAGTTGTGTCTAAACTTTACATTTTGAAATAAATTCATATTCTGTTGGCAATAATTATCATCACATGCCTTTAGAAAAATCTTGAGTGTGCTAACCCGTCAGTGTCAACAGCTACTGCTATCAGCATTACTTCACTGCACTATTGTATGTTGCTTTTATTTCTGGAGTCCATTATTTTTGCATTAAGAATGCACTAAGTATTGCAGCTGCATTAGAGAACCAAAAGGCCATTGAGGAAACACTCATTGGCAGGATATGGCCAACTTTAAAAAACATTTGATGGCCTCTTATACATCTTCTTCACCAGCTGTTAATCTCATAAATTAATGTCTTGGACTGCAGCATCAACAATATTCAGGCTAGACACTGTAGAAAGACACAAAGTGGGTGATGTGGAGATGGAAGATGAGGATCTGCATTTAACTATTGTTAACAACTGCCATGATAAACTCGGGCTGAATAATATCACGAAGCTTAGTTTTTTTGCTTGTCACAGACTTGGTTTAAAATCACAAGAGCGGTTATGGTCTCTATTGGTACTCTTCACTATACTGACTACTAAATCTGAAGTCGGGGCCCCCAAGACCAGGCTAGTTTCTAAGTCGTTGCTTCCAGTTCTTTGTTGCACTTTGGAGTTCGAAGGGTCTGGTTGAGTGATGGCATTATTCTCATCAAGCAGTCCACCGGCACGTTGTGTCGTGTATACGCCATACGGGAGTTAAATAAGTTGATTGCCATGAACACTGCATCAGTATCACACACGGAGGCGGCGTTTGAGGCAGAGTTTAAACCCACTGCAGATTCAGAATGGACTGCTAACTCAAGGCTGGTTACTAAGGAGGCAACAATCAAGGCGACTTACGCAAAATCTAAACGTGTCATACGAAAGTGAGAACTTTGCTTGTTTGTTTAATCGACATTATAAATAAATAAATACTGATTTCCAACACACACCAATTAGCCTAGACCCAAAGTAAGCACTGCAAAGGCTTGTGATATAGGATGCTAGGGTAGCAATGTTTTTTATTTATTTTAGTGTTTCTCTTTGCCGGTACTTTGTTTTTGATGAGCACTTAGTGAAACTTTGTACACATTCCTATTGGATACGTAGCAATTGAGGAACTGGAAGTATTATTTGTCAAGTAAAAACATATACAAACTTAGATAATATTTCCTTAGTGATCAGTGATGATGAATGGGCTCCGTTGGGATTTGGGCTAATATCCGGTGTTTGTGTCTAAAATGTCTTGTCTTTATCTTACACTTTTAGATTAGATCAGCAGATCTATTCCAAGATTTCCAAGCCAAGCCAAGTCTGTCTGTTTACATTTATTTGAGAATCATTTTTTTAAATTACGTTCTTCCCTATTGGGAAAGGCAAAGGAAAAAGCCATGCAGCCATCATCTTATTAATCTGCCTTTTTTTTACATTAGAATGCGGGTGTGACGCATTCTAATGTTTCTTGGAGTGTTTGACACGAAATGTATCGAGAAGGCTTTTTCGATAAGTGTCTCTGAGGTAATCCACACTATACTTGACCGGAATAGCGTATATTTTAAAGATTCCACTAATAAGCTCGTTGACTCATGTCGAATTGTATTAAATAAATGTTTATTTCTTAAAGTATTTGGTCTAAGGAACCTAAATATATCGATTTCACTTCATAAAAGCAGAAGATTGCTGTAGAAATTTTATTTAGTCAATAAAAAAAATAAGAAAATATAATTTTAGTCTATATTTTTTAAACACTAAAAACGCTGTTCGCCACATCCGCCATGATTGTGACGTCTCTTGTAGTAAACAACTAAATGTCATTCGCGTGTTACTGTGGGTGGATTCTTTCATCTGACTAAATTTATCTTAAAACACTTTTAACTTTAGAAAAGTTTCCGTTTACTGTTATTTTTTTGACAAAACTAATTATGAATACTAGCTTTGTGAAAGCAGTAAGCACAAATCTGCCAAGAATTGACGCATTGATGGTTGGTGAATTTTTTGCACTAAACCCTGATTTCTGTTCTGCTGAGCAGAGAAACGACAAGGCATCTATGTAAGTACAGTGCATTTAGTATAATATTTAGTAATAAACTTAAAACTGATACAACATATGAATAAGTGTAATAAAGTTGCGTAGGTTAATTTCTTTCGGCACTTTAATCCACAACTTTACTGGAGTCTTCAAGGATGTGTTTTTATATTCTCGTACAATACAATAATGATAATTACTTTATGTTTCGTGGTATTTATTAGAAATCATGTTTTTTTTATTATAAACTCAGATTTATGTTATTTTCTACGTGCTTACGAGTTTTTGTTTACTATAGTTGACGTCATAGCATAGATAGTCTATAGACTAAAATGGCCGACAGCGTTTTTGTATGTCCATGAAAAGTCTATTTTAAAATTAAAGATTTGTAGCTAGATTGTAGCTAGGTCTCAAAAAAAACTTTTTTTTTCGGTCTAATAGAACATTTAAAACCTTTTTCCAATGAGGGTCAACTAGCCTATTCTTCAGTTACGCAGACTGTTGAAACACAAAATTACAACAATTTTATTTCACCATATGTATCTAATAAGAACGAATTTAAAATTAGACGCCACCCGCACTCGATGAAATCCCGCCAAAAATTGTTTTTTTTATTAACCACTATGATGACAAAGAAACTACGTTCATACAGCCATATTTATTATTTTTCTTTGTATTTTATCGATTAATGTCAATAAATATTGTAAAAACAGAACAGAAAAAGAGATTGTAATCCTGTATTTCGTTTGTGAATTTAAAAGTTTTGTTTGTATATTTCTTTTGTTTTGTTTCAATTAAAATTATTACACTTGACCGGCGGGTATTTTGTTTGTAATAATTGATAGCTGTGAATTGATTTGTTATAGTTTTAAAGTATTTATATTTTATAGTAAATTATGACAGATTTTGTGGATGTTGCAGATTTTGTATCATGTGTGAGTTCTGATTCTGACACGTCGTTTAATTCTTTGGATGATGTGCAAGTGAATGATTGTTGTATTTGAAACTTTTACAAGGAACTTAAATGTTTGTCACAATTTTTTTAATGCACAGCACAGAGCATATGTAGTCACCATACCGAATTGCTTAATAATTTCACCATCAACACTATTAATGCGGTTTTGACATCTGAAAGTTGGTTCAAGCCTTGCCGTAGCTCCAAGACTTATGCTTTACCCGGGTATGCTCTCGTACGTCACAACAGACTATTGAAGGGGGGTGGTGTTGTTGCCATCTACTGCGAACTAGCATCTCATATAAAATCCTTTTTTGGTCTGATCAGCTTGCAAATGGCGTGGAGTATCCTTTTCTGGAGATCTTGGTACTTGATTCCAAAGCTGTTTTCGGAGTCGTTAGTATATTGCCCACCTGCTGTCGATTATATTCCATCCCTTACCTCTATCTTTGGTACACTTGCAGCTGATTACGCACATTACGCACATCACAGTATCATGGGTGATTTCAATACAGACCTTCTGTAGGACACTCTCGTTTCTAGTTCTCTTGAATCAATCATTGAGTCATACAATTTCTCTTTTCTGCCCCTTAATGCTACTTACCACAACATCGAAAGTAACGACTCGTGGATTAATCACATAACTTTTACCTCTCCTGACTTTGTCTCTCTTCATGGCCAATTCTCGGTTCCTGGTTTCTCCCGGCATGACCTTATTTTCCTCTCTAATAAAATAAAGCCCCCCTAGCATGTCCCTGAGTTAGTAAAAATGCGGATCTTTGCTCGCCTGGACTCTGAGATATTATTTCGGGGAGCCTCGATCATTGATTGGATCGGTCTTTTATCTGCTGCCAAAACTGTCGTAATGGTAAATGCTTATAATGGAGTCTTATTATCATTTTTCACGCCATGCACCAATTTGCACAGTAAGAGTTAAAAAACCTCTTGCACCTTGGATAACTCCTCTGGTCTGCATTGCGATAAGGAGACGTAAAAGAGATTTTAGTAAATTTAAAAACTGTAGGACTGAAGAGAACTTCTCCTGTTTCAAGACCAAGAGGAACCGCTGTAATCAGATGCTAGAGGCCGCAATTTTCATGATAATATTTATCACGCATCTCATGCAAATATTTGGAAATTTCTTCGCTCTCTTGAGTTGATTAAGTCAATTGGTTTTCGTGCAATACAAGCAATTTCTATGAGAATTAATAGAGCAAAGATCCATAATAAGTCGGATATAATCAAGAAATTTAAAAAAGCATTTCGGCCAATGGTTTCCGAGAAATTGAATAGGTTTGGTAGCGTGGCTAGACACGTCGTAATCAAATCTTGAGCTAGAGCGATTTTAATAAAATTTGGTACGGAGTTAGCTGACACCCTGGATTAACACATTGGCTACGTTTTACTGGCGGGAAAGTATCCCTAGTGAACCGCGGATAACACCGCTGGGCACAGCTAGTATTTTATAATATCGTTATGAAATATTTTATTGCATTTGCATAATTTATTCAAACTTTTTCTTGCTTTAGTCACTAATAACTCAAATTAGTTATTATTATGTACAAAATAATACAAGTAAATATTTTACATATGAAAAATCGGTCAAAAGTATAATAGTAATAAATAGTCCATATTGCTTCGACTTTTTGGATGAGTATAATATAGAACTGACAATAGTCCGATATTTGTTTTAGAATAAATCTTAATATGTATATAAATGACGCGTCACGTTGTTTGTCCGGGATGGACACCTAAACTACTTAACTGATTTTTATCTTTGCTCACCGTGTGCAGTTTGATCCAACTTGAAAGATAGGATAGCTTACATCTCTATATAGTCGCATTATTATTTTATTCGCACAAATAGCAAATTATTACTTTTGGGCAGTACGAAGTTCGACGGGTCAGCTAGTATTACCATATATTTATTCCTTATTATTGCCGTGTACGAAGTATCCTAAGTTACCTAGCCCCCGACACCAAATATATAAAATTTCTCGGAATCCTATGGGCGGCATTTTTAAATTTCTCGACAAAAACCGGCATTTAGTGAAGACTTCTATTCTGCATAAATTTAAAATTACCTGTACATTGGCGGATCGGAGCGTCGGACTCAATAGGTACGGCAACATTGGTATCAAGTCCAGTCGAAGCGGCGTCATCGTGAGAAGCACAGAAGGAGCGCTGCCCCGCAACACAGATCTCACAATACTCTCTATCTCATTCTTCTTTTTATAAACCTACAAATGTTCCTCCATTTAAGAAGTTAACTTATTGAAGTTGGAGAACTTTTGCAATGACCTGTTATTGGGTCATTTACTTATTATTCAAGCTCCTCCGTGCTTCAGAAGGCACGCTAAGCCGCTAGGCCCATCTTTATCTGCAGTCGTTAGCACCCAACAATCCGCACTGGGCCCGCGTGGTGGGTCAAGACCCAGTAATCATCTCATTCCGGGAAGACCTGTGTCCCGTAAGCGAGGATTCATAGGCTGATGATAATAATTTTATTTATTATTCAAAATACATTACACCATTATAACAGGTATATACCTAATTCAATAGTGTAGTCGTCCTTTCAAGCTAACTATAAATTCTTATAAAATTACATTAATTATTAACAATATTATTTCAATGTTGTAAATTATATATAAATGTCAATAAAAATAAATAAAAGAAAAAACAATGTCAATGTAAGCAAATGTCAATTAAAAATCTATAAAAATAAAAAAAAATAACTTCAATTTAGGATGCATTACAAATATTGTCCATAAAATCTAAAATTCATAATACATTTCTCAAAATAAATAAAAATATATTCCAGTAAAAAAGTCAATAATGTTATTTATAGCACAACACTTTTAAAGTTACTTTCGTAAACTCGCCAATCGAACAGGTGAACAAATCGATAGACTCGGCAACTACATTGAGCGTGTGTATTGTTCGCGTCAGAGGTGCGGTGGCCAGCAGGCGAGTGCGGGCGCGCGGCACCGCGAGAAGCTGCGGCCGCCGGCGCCGCCACACGTATCTATCAGGCACGCATAAATTTAGCAATCCTAATATATTTGGGTTGCAGGTAATGCCTCGCAACACCCTGACTATGTAATCAGCGATAATAATAGGTTAGGTTCGTGCTCCATCTATAAAGTCTGTATTAAAGTGACATGATACTTCAGGTATACAATCAAAGTTGGTAAAGTCCGCAAAATTTCAAAAGTGAGATTTAAATTACACAACATATTCATTTCCGTATCTATATTTATCCCGTAGAATAATTTTATACAAATTCTAGAAATATCGACTGTTATTTCAAATTGAAAATTGACATAACAAACAAACGTAGCAAAGTCCAAGTGAGTTGAGTTTCAATTTGCGTAAAGTCCTTTTCGACCAATAGGAAGGCTCCATTGCCTCCATTTCACTGACAGCTGTCATGGCCGCCTTTGATGTTGTATTGTAATGACCTTTTGTTGTGTTGCAGTTAGAAATTTAGTAAAGTCCAAAACTTAGTTACGAAATTGAGAAAGTCCATTACTGAAGGTTTTACTCAAAAGTATTGAACTGAACGTGATGAACACTTGTATTTCCATAATGTATTACATTCTGCATATAAATAATGTTTAACATTAGAATAGTTACCTGTAATTAATAAAATAATCGTTTTTATCGTTTACTGAACATTTTGGCAATGTGGACTTTACCAAGTTTGATTGTATACCCCTCACTTACTTCTTGAGCTTGCATAGGGAACTTTAGCTGTCCGTACTGAGTCCACGTTTGAACTAAGTCGTACAATCTGAGCCAGGACAACTTCTCGCAGGCGAGGCGGAGACGAGAGTCTACCTGGGCCGACAGGAAGTTCTCGAATATACTTATTATTCTGAAAGGTCATGACACTCACTTCTTAAGCTTGCATAAGGAACTTCAGCTGCGTCGGGACCTTAGTAGCTAGCAGAGTGTGACACCTCGCTATGCACATCGGCAGTAATCCGTACTACGAGTTGTTCTGTCCGCGCTGAGTCCACGCCTGAACTAAGTAGTACATTCCGAGCCAGGAAAACTTCTCGCAGGCGAGGCGGGGACGAGAGTCCACCCAGGCCGACATGAAGTTCTCGAATATAATTATTATTCTGAAAGGACATGATACTCACTTCTTGAGATTGCATAGGAAACTTCAGCTTCGTCGGGGCCTTAGTAGCTAGCAAAGTGTGACACCTCGCTATGCACATCGGCATTAATCCGTACAATGAGTAGTTCTGGCCGCGCTGAGTCCACGCCTGTACCAAGTCATAAAGTCTCAGCCAGGACAACGTCTCGCAAGCGAGGCGGAGACGAGAGTCCACCCGGGCCGACATATAGTTCTCGAATATACCGTCCATTAATCTGAAAATCATTTTTTAAGCTAAATATTTGTATTAATATAAACATTTATCTAGCTAAGCTTTTACCCACAATGCAAAAAAATAGCCTTAGGCTACGGCAAAGAACTCACGGTGCGAGTTTCTGCCGCGCCCGCCGTCGCTGTGGGAGTGTAACTCGAGTAGAATGTGAAATATATAACGCAAAAAGCTAAACTCACGGCAAGATTTGCGCCCGCAGGCACTGTGATTTTTATGCGGGTGATCAAAAGGCTCGTTCTGAATTTTATGTTTATTTATTTATTTGACACACCCTTAACAATATCACAATTATTATATGAAAAGAAAATCAAATAGGTATTACAAGTCTATGTGAATTATTTTTAAGGAGCATACAGCAATATCTATACATCATTGGCACAATATTTGTCTTTAAAGTTGAATTCTTTGAAACAATTCAAAGAATTCAAAGACAAAAACTGTGGTCTCGTCAATTTTGAAATAAAACAGCTTTCCGTGCAAAATAGGCGTCGTGAATTCCTAACCTAAGAAATACTAGAAGAAACAACCATTAGCGGGAGACGAAAGTAGGTTTGAATCCTGTCTGCTACATATTTCTAACACTCACACCAATTATCCTAGTCCCAAAGTATGCACTGTAGGCTTGTATATGGGATACTAGGGTAATGTATAGAATACATATACTGATGACATATATAAGTATATTTATTATAGAAATACATATTAAACATCCATGACTGGAGTACAAACGCTCGTATTCATCACACAAACATCTGCCCCCACCGGGATTCAAACCCGGGACCTCTCGAGTCGGCGACGATATGAAACCCAGCGTACAAACCACGCGCCCACGGAGGTCGTTAATAAAAAATAGTTTTTAAATGATTTCATAGATCATAGATTCATGATTGAACAGATACAGCGATTTAGCGATGTCATATTGAGCTACGGTGGACGAAATTATTCTATATAAGTACCTATAAATAATCTACTCATACTTTCAAGCTTCCTAGAGCACAAGTACAAGTTTTTTGGACCCACGACGGCACAAAGAAAGATACGCGTATGAAATTGAGCTAATGATCTCAGGAATTTGATAATAAAATTGGCGTATTCATTTTAGTCGCGCTGCAAAATAAAGTGAATAGAAAGTAGCTGTGACATTTGACTTAGATGGATAATTAGACCTTTTTGTCTGTACCTGTCATACTCCCCAGCCGCTTGTATGGTCTTCATGATGTCTCTCCCGCCGGCTGTGAAAATGGCGACCAGCGCTTGCATCAGGCTTTTACTACAATCGTTGTCTCCTATTGAAAGCTTCTCGACATCTTCCATTTTTAACTGGAACAATAATAAATATAAAATAATTAACACCTTATTCAAGAGAGTGCACAAAGCGTATATCCATTTCAATCAAAGTGGCCGTATGAGGATCTTCCTCCTCAAGAAAAATGCCGCCAAAGTTTATTTTAACACTTGCTATGCTCTTGCCTAAAGTAGTACCTAAGTAGCCAGTGCTCCATAGAGTTTAATATAGATTCAGGGTAAGCTGCGCGCAAGGGTCTTTAAAATATATCAGATCTGGTAATGACTTCCGCCTACATTCACGAAGAGACGACACCGCCATAACACGCGGAGCTGGTGCGACACTAAGTATAAAATAGACAGGGTGCTTAAAATCAGCAAAGTCTTTAATACATAGCACCCGCATTCCCATGTACAAAAAAAACTTAAGACGAGGATGTGTGGTCCTTCGCTGACCTATATAGGAATTCTTTCTCAAAAAAAAAGTCTTGCATTATTATAGGGAAGAAGTGAACCTTGAAGTTGAACATTCGATCGAACAATAACTAGATATGTAGCCCAATCATGAACCATTATCGAATTCGAATAGTTTGCAAACCGAAATGTCAATGTCTTTTGTATGGCAATTTGAACAGCAGCGGCACAAAGTACGTAACGAGAATTAAAAATCAGTACACATTTGACAATGACATTTCGGACTCGCAAACGTTACGAATTCGATTTTGGTTCGTGCTAAGGGTACTGAACATTGTTGATTCGATACATCAATATATATGTATACATAAAAGACACACATTTATAAATATATATACCTATACATAAATACCTATTTACACACCATAAGTCTTCATTAATAAAGCATAAATCCAACTCCTATTAATAGTTTAATTAGCGACTAACGTAAAACGGAATGAACTATTCGGTGACTTTATTGAATCGTACGTGACACCGACAGCAATAATAATCAGTATATATATTTTTAATTGTCTTTTGTATTGAAGGTTTTCCCGCAGTTCTTTTTAAATTCAAATTTTTTTACCGTCACGGAATTAGGTTTAGCACGGTCCCTCTCTAAAACTCAGGTTTAGCCATATGGTTTAGCTTTAAAATATAACGTAGATCTATGGATTTTTAGAGGCAATCTACGGACGTTTGCAGATTTTTGAGCGCCGCCCTACGCATTTTAACAATTGGATCTGGCAACACTGCCTGACAATACAGACCGATAATCAGATCTTTCTCGTTGGTCAAAATACTTCAAGCAAACAGATTTACATCGCACTTATCTGAGCGGAATAAACGAACGATTCCGACTAAATAGATTGATCGGACAAATAAAGAACGCAGCTAATGCAGCGCACGCTGTTTTGTTTTCACTGACATGACAATCATTAACTCTAACTTCGAGAACTGTAACTTTAGAAGATATACATTGTTAAAAATAACGAAAAAGAAAAATTAGGCAGTATGGCTCAATCGCCTTCGCCTGTCCTAATGGACGAATAAGAATACTACTGATATGACAGTGACCACAGATTACTGAAATTTCTGTGTAAAACGGAAACAGCTACAGAACAAAAAAAAAAAGGTTTTTTGGCGGGATTTCATCGAGTGTGGTTGGCGTCTTATTTTAATTATTCTTAAATTCGTTCATAGTGGATATTGTGAAATAAAATTGGTGTGATTTTGTGTTACAACTGTCTGCGTAACTGAAGAATTAGTAGAATCGTCAAAATATACGCTATTCCGGTCAAGTGGACGTGAGAATTTTATTGTAGTATTGACTACCTCACAGAAGCTTATCGAAAAAGCCAGCTCGATACATTTCGTGCCAAACACTTCAAGAAACATTAATGCGTCACACTGACATTCTAATGTAAATAGAAAAACAGAATAATTTAACTTAAGACTAGGCTGTATGGGCATTGTTCCCCTTGCCTTCCCTGAAAAGGGAGAACGTACACAAAAAAAAAGTACAGTGACAAGAAGGATAACAAGCTATCAATAACTTTATCGTATTATTTATTTACGATATTACTTCCAGGTCCACAAAAGAACAGAGTTCATTAATAAAATTGAGCCCAATACTCAGTTCTACTCATGTGACATCAGAAGACCACCACAACAATTTACAAAAAGAAGAAGTTTATATTTTGATTGTAACTACTCTCGGCGGCAAATTAATTTTTGGATAAGTGCATTTCAGTGAGATAAAAGTAAGTATTTCAATTCAAAGAACAAAATAATTCAAAGAAATGTGTGGTGTAAGAAGTATGATTTAAATTCTAGTTAGTACTTCATAAATCTATTTAATTACATTATGGTGTAGTGTTACTTATAAAGTTAGTAATATATGCAATTTTTCTATGTATTCTTGCACTAGTTTTGTAGACACATAAGTAATTAATAATGTTTTAGTATGCCAGCTCACAAAGTGGTGAGCGACCAACAATTAGAGATGCTCGTGGACTTTGTGGAGCAGGACCCCTACTTCACTAGTGGCCGACTAAACAGTTGTTCAATAGAAAAACGTAAGGTTGCACAAAAATGGGACTACATGGCCTCCCAATTGAATGCAGTAGATCGTGGTGCCAATAAAAGTGGTAATCAGTGGCGAATTGTAAGTAAATTTTATATTTTATTATGTCCTATGCTGTATTTTTCTATTTTTCTTGTGAAGAATGACAGCATCAACTTAATCAAACCTAAAAGTTGTGTTGACTTCTCATAGTGTTGAAAAAAATAAAGAAAATAAAAGGTATCTAACATTACATTTATTTATTGGAAATATTTTTAATTAAGTATAAATTTATTTTAATTATTTTCTTTATCTATATATATAAAAATGAAACCCGTTTTCCGTTGTCACGACATAACATGAAAACGGCTTGACCCATTTCGCTGATTTTTTTTTTGTAGTTTTCTAATACTATGTACAAGGTTCTTACGGAAAAATATAAAGAAAATCTCTCAGAAAGATTGAAAAATATAACGTAACGAATTCAACGTCATTCAATTTAAAACAAAAAATCTGTGGTAATCTGTGACAGGAACAAACAATTATTAGCAAACAAAAAACTTCTTAGTCTTTAAAACAAAACGAAATTATTTATCAATAACTTAATAAAATTATTGTTAGCGCGGTTATGGACTAGCTGACCCGGCGAACTTCGTACCGTATAGTTTATCAAAAAGCATTAGAATAGAGAGAAGCAGTGAAGGGTATAGAGGCTATTAGTTGCTTTCAAGAGCGCGCGTGGTGTTGAGCTCAGTGTTTACTTCAAAATGCAAAGTTGTTCAATAGCGATTTGTAAAAATATGAGTGAAATTGAACCCTATGGAATAAACACTATTATGAAAATATATATGTTGTTTTTTATTTAATAAAAATTAGTAAAGTCCTCAGGTATGGTGAGACCAGGGAAATAAGGATTCATTTTTATATGGAGGATATTATAGATTCCAGTTCAAATTGAATAGGTACTCATACATAAGATAGGTCAGCTATACAAAATAAAGTAGTGCATCAAAGCTACGCTAAGGCGGTACGAAGTTCGCCGGGTCAGCTAGTTATTATATATATATTATTATTATTCACATTTTCATAAAGGAATTTGTTTTGGAGGATGAGGAAAGAGGGTTTATGACTTTGTTGCAAAGTTGTTGGAGATGCCTAGTTATTTTATAATGGGATATTTTTAAATGCACAGCAAATAACTTATTAACCATTAAGTTATTTATAGAAATTAAATACTTTTTACATCAAAATAATTATTTTACTGCAAACAAAACATTTATTAAACAAAACTATTGCTGAAAATAATTCAAAAATATACATCTAATCTGTAGTAACAAAAAACTTTTTTAACTGTACAGAAATATGATTTTCATATCAAATATACTGATTGCACAGTATATATACTGATTGCACAGCAAATATACAGATTGTGCAGAAAATTAACCAGGGCTTTGACGCAAAATACTCACACTCATAACAATACAACAATTTTTGCAACAGGTTTCCCATTAAGCATTTCAAAACTTGCTCAACATTGGGACACTTGATGGTTATAAAAAAAAGCGAGTGTGCTTATGACCATACGACTGAAGTGAAACTTCTTTAGCTCCAATGAGCTGAAACTCATAAACGTAACCTGAAGATTTGTTGATAGTAATAAAAAACACCAATCTGTGCTGGGTCCGTATCACCCTTCAATTCGCATTGGGTCCATTATCACCCACCAATCCGCGCTGAGTCACCAGTTTACCTCCCAAGTCAAGAGTTCCTAAAGAAGTTTCTCTTCAATAATTAGATTCTCATGTCAATTAAAATTGCGTAACTTTGTTATATGTAAACTGCTGTATGAGATAACAATATGGCAGCGTTGTTTAAAAAAAAATATGTAATATATATTGTTGTGTGGTGGTTATTAGCTATGCATTCTTAAAAAAAAGCTTTAGTTTTAAATAAATAGAGATGCATCATGAGCTTAAATTGTTACTAATATAACAATATTTTGAGGTGACTATTTTGCTGTGCAGTAAGTATTTTTGCTTAGGATTGGGACTTATTTTATTCATACAAAAAGTATTTTTTTTTTCGATTTGCAGTTAAATACCAGCCTTTCATAATTGGTAATTTGAGTAAACAAACATACAAAAAGTGACTAATTGACACTTTTCTCTCTGAGTTTTTGTGAACATAACATATCTATATTTCATATCATAGTTTTCCTTTGTATAAATCATCATCATCAGCCTATTAATGTCCCCACTGCTGGGGCACAGGCCTTCCCTATGGATGGAATAGGGAGATTGGGCCATGACCCACCACGCGGGTCCAGTGCGGATTGGCGGGTGCTAACGACTGCAGATGTAGCCGGGACCAACGGCTTAACGTGCCTTCCGAAGCACGGAGGAACTCGAGATAGATGTTTTTGGTCACCCAATGACCGACCACTGCGAAAGTTGTTTAACTTCAACCATCGCAGCCCAACGCGCTATCCACCTGCACCATCGAGCTCCTCATGAGAGTT